AAAAAAAAAAAAAAGGAAAACTAGAATAAATAACGATCATGGCAACAGTTATTCGTTCAAACAAACTTCATTAGTAACGATATATCGTCGATAAAGGACAGACTCTCGAACTCGTTATCGTTATCTTCGTTGATGCGTAAACTGTACGATCAGATTTCGGCTGAACGCATTTCCCCGCGAAAATTCAACGTCGATCGTTGTGTCATTATTTCTCCCCCCTTCGCTGTACGAGCTGTGAATGTTGAAGTGTAAGTACTTGATCGAAGAAAAACTGAATCACGAAAAATTGATCTTTTGTACGGAAATATAATCGTCAGACGGAGATGACGATCGAAAAAAAAGATGGACGCTCAAGGTAGGAATTGAAGCACTCGTTCAATCTACTCTGAATGAAAAACGAGGATCGTTTGTATTAGCTGTCTCCTAAAAGTTTACGTTTTCGCACGTTTTTTTTTTTTAAGTTAGTCAACCTTCCAATCAAACCTGTCGACGACTGACGGGTCGTCAAAGTCAATCCTTCGCTCGTGACTCGACTTTCAACTCGGAACGGGAATAAAATGTATATTTTGGGAGAGTTGATTTTCTTGAATTCCCCGCGTGCTCGCGCGACTTCGTCTCTTTTCGTGCTGGTACAGTTGTTGATGGGGGGAAAAACACTGGAAGAGAGGCGAACGAACGTGAGAACGAAGAGAGAACAGAAACAAGATGGCGATGTGGTGGCAGCCACCGAGCCGCCGCGAACGACATTTTTATACATTGTATAAATTTTGTACATAGTCGTGCGCGACGCAGTAAACAGTAACTTTGATAACTATCTTCATGAATGTTCATTGTGTTCGGCCTAATTAATTCGCTCTTCGCTAAGACGAGAATGTATATCCGCCCTTTTGAACCCTTTTACTTAAAACTTAACGAAACCAAACGTAGAGACGGGTGAAGGCGAAAACATTGGTCTAAAGTAATTAAACTTCACTTGAATTCTGAAGTACGCGCGCCGGCCGATGGAATGTTTGTCGCGTCATTTTCAAATTTCGCGCCGACTCGCTTCGAAAAAAGCTCGCGCTGCAAGCTTCTTTGCAGAGAAAAGGAAAGAAAAGGTTCGATGGATCTTTCGCGCTTCGACGATGAAAAATTGACGATTTCGTGCGCGATTTTGTGAACCGTGGTCCTACGATTAATTAAACTGAAATAAAGGTGGTGCAAGCGACAAATGACGCGATGGATATTTCCAGTCGTATAGACATAAACTATCATCGATGACAGGAACACGCAAAAGAAGAGAACGAAAAAGAAAAAAAAGAAAAAGGTTATATATGTACAATATATATACAGAGAATAAGACTTTAAAAAAATGTACAAAGGGATCGAAGAGAGGGTGGCAATATTTTCGAACGAAAAAAAAAAAAAAAAAAAAGAAACGCCAATTAGAAAGGCCAAAGGGGCGCTTGTGGATTAAAAGAAAAAGAAAAAAAAAATGGTCTAAGATATACGTTTTTGTCATATCGTTCAAAAGTTAGATCACCGGAAGGCGGTACGATCTATATAGAATTCGTTAATGTAAATTGAGATCACGAAAAGGGAGGAGAGAGTTCATTCTATAGAATGAAATTTTTAGAAGTTTATATACGGTGTGTCGCGAAAGCAAACGACTGCGTTTGATAAGTTCAATCGATCCTTCGCAATAGTGCGTAAGAGCCAGGTACGAGTACATTTGCCGTATTTTATTGTACTGTACATTTTGTCGCACGGTGTTCACGCACTCTGTACAATTTGTGTAATATTCAAATATTTTCGATATTGTATTTGTTTACGGCAGACACTACCTTGCACTGTCGTCAAAAATAAACGTAAATCTTTTGATAACATTTACAATTTCGCGTCGAGATGTTTCAATGAACATGACTTTTATATTATTTTGTAAATATATCTGACAACTAACATTCTTTGGTATGTACATATATATAAGAGCCTCTCGAGATGTCGGCAAAAATTGCATCTTTCTCTCGCTTCTATCGTGTCTAAAAGGAGAAAAAGAAAAAAAAAAAAAAGAGGAATGAATGGCATTTCGATAGGAAGAAATCCTTTCGCGGCATACTGTAAAGGAGGCCGTGGTGTCATCCTGTACTCGATATCGCATCGCTGTAAAGAAAAAAAAAAAGAGAAAAAAGAAAAAATAAAAAAAACAAAGGAAATGATAAAACACACATAAATAAATTGTGATCTTTCTCGTTTGGATGTTGAATAGGCTAAACAGGTTGTACAGTACGCACACGCACTTATACTATTACAATCATCGGAGGAAACACCGTAGGTAACACCGTGTACATAAAGCGTATGTAACTGATAAGGATATTTTTTGTACGTAGTTAAATCTCGGAGGAAAAAACAGAAAAAAAAAAAAAGAAAACTGCTCTCTGCCGTATATATGTATGTATGTATATGTATATCTGACTATAATTCGTTCCATACAGTGATCTCCGTTGTGACCTACGTAAACCATGCATGAACTATCTGCCGAGAAGAATAGAGAGATCCGAACAGAATCGATCGTTCTTTTTTTTTTTTTTTTTTTTTTTAATTTTAAGCATCACAGAGAATTAGGAGATCAATTTCTCGGGCCATAAAATTCGACTCCATATCAGTTGTTGGGATAATTAATTAATATGAGCAGCTCGAAGGAAAAGTGGTACAAACGACAAATTCCTTGATCCTGGGGAAGAAGAGAAACCTGTCGAAACACGATGGAAACTCAAACACAATGTTGTCCAGACAAATATAAATTTTTCAGGCGAAACAAACTCATACCACCTTTCCACTGAATGCTTCGATTAATATTAATTAACGTGTAATATTTAATTTACGTGCCATTGATAAAGGTAAACTGAGTATACGTTTGTTTTCTCCCTCTCTCTCTCTCTCTTACTCGTGGCTGGAACTTTTGTCGAGGACACATTATTCGAACGGTTATTTGTTAATCGCAACTGTGATTCGTGTATTAGTAATAATTATCGTGTGTTAGTCGATTGGTAGTCGTTTGATGCTGTGTAACCAGTAAACGAGAATTACAGGTGCGATTAAGGATTAGTTGGCTCTGCTCCATATCGATTGGGAATCGTTGAAATTGAATTTTATAAAATCATATTGCGCGCGCGTAAGATCTTTTGATATATCAACTAAAATTCATCTCTCGATTTTCGAATGATACGTAAGACAGTACGAAGTAAAAATTATTTATTAATTACGAGGAAACATTGGGTATCCAAGTATATTTAAATGCATCAAATGTATCGTTCGTTCCTTTTCTAATTTCAAAGCTACTTTGAACGATAAATTCCTTTAGGGGCATAGTCTCCAACGAACGTTACTAACGGATTGACACAGAAAAGAGAGGACAGCAGAAAAGAGAGAAACGAAGGAGGGAGGGAGAGACCAATTGGTTGTACCGAAGCACGTTTCCTCTTGGCAAATTTTACGCGTATACATGCGTAAAGGAAATCCTTCGACAAACTGAGTTACTGTAATCGTCATATAGTAACTTAAAGACACGATCTCTAGGATTAGTGTACGTCTAAACGAATAAGCCACGATGTTTAAGTATAGTAACGATATAGATTTTGTATACCGCGTGCGTGAGAATGTAGAGACGAGCATGACAGAGAGGACATTGTGCGTGCGAGCGCGCGTTACAGAATTTACGTTCAACAGGTTAATAAATCGTATTTTCGAAATAAAATCTAAACCTTTCTTCTTCCCTTCTATTCGTCGCCTCGAGACCCTGTCACTTTCGTGAAAATGTATTTAGAAAATTCTCCAAACAGCACTACTGCTGCTCATCATGTTGTGTACGTACATTACAACTTCTGACTATAACGTATCTATATAATACACACGACGAGTTTAACCGCGAAAAAAATCATAAATCAATCCTAATTAATTTTTTACCCTTTTACCCTTTTAGTTCCGATCGAGTTTGATAGGTGGTCAGATGGCAGCACGCGACATATATCTGTCTTTATTGCACGTTGTTGCGCTCCTTGTCTACAATAGTGCTGACATCTGACTACCTTTCAGTTTCGACTGGAACTAAAAGGACAAAAAGGTAAACTCCGATAGATGGCAGTGTAGTCGCAGATAAAGATGGTGATAACGCGAGACAAGAACAGAGATAGCGATTAGTTCTGTCATTTCGCCGCTATGTGGCGGTGGCGTTTCATTGTCTGAATTGACCAGAAAATTTTCATTTGCGGAAATAGCTAGTTAAAGAGATTAATTTCTAAACTTTTATTATTAAATCTAAACTGGACCCTCAGCTGTCTTTTTCATACATTCCATTTCAACTATAAAATGGATAAAGATTTGTAAATTCTATTCAATAAATTGAAACAACATTTGTTTCTTTGTTCAAAATTTGACTCAAAATTATTTATGAACATGGAGAATTAACAAAAGGTTTCACACACGTTTTTGAATAGAAATCTTTATTTAATCGATTTGTTATTAATGAATGTTCTATGCGAGTTATGATTTATAGCAAATTAATTTATAAACTTTTTTGTATTTAATATTCAGAAGATTCTATGCTAGATGGATTAATGCTATAAAATTACAATATCACAAATTACATACTTAAATTAAAACCTGCTCAGCTACAATTTTAAAATAAATGTTATTGCTTATTATATACTGTTCAGATTTTTTAACTGAAGGGCTGGCTGAAGTTTATTGTTCATTTAAAACTCAAAACGAGTAACATCACATGTCGAGTCATTATATCTTGCGGCTCATAATGATAATGCCTTTATTTTGTCCTTAATCAATTCATATCATGAATTTTCCAAGTACACTAGCTAACCTAGCTTTTGCATGAACCCAGTCTCCAACATAACCTATAATACCTGATGAATAATAATGACAAACATCATTCGATTATAACCTCTTTCGATATTTTGTGTATGATGAATTTACAATGACTCAAACTTATGATAATTATTACAGTGAATTTCAAAAAAATGCAGAATTACAGCAAAATCTGAGATATAAAAAGAAATACCGGAGATTGAAAAGGATCATAAAGGACACCGTATTCGTAAGATTTTTACTGCGATAATAATTCTTGCTTTCTCTGTTGTACTGTTGCTTTGGATAAAATATGAATGAAATAACAGGATTTAATCATTGTACAAATTATAGATGAATTTCCGATTATAGGAAAATGCAGCATTGTGCGATCAAGTTGCACAAATGCAAGAGAATCTCATGCTTGTGAAAGAAGAGAGGCTGTTCCTTTTACGTAAATTATGTCAACAACAAGGGGACATAGATCCCTCTACGATGATAGCTCGATCTCAATCAAACAGTATTAATTCTAGTTCATTTAACCCAGAATGCTCTACACCTAAGAAGACTACAAAGAAAAGGATGTCAACAGAAGGCTCAGGTATTAAAACATTTTATATTCAGATGCGCACAATTCAATTATACAACTTAATATAATTACAAACAAAACATTATTCATTAAACAACAATCTAAAAAGGTAGATATAAGACTTTTAATTCTTTTTTTTTTTTAGAAACAAAAAATAAAGCCAAACGTTACAATAAAACTGCGAGAAAGGTGGTCCAATTAATACCATTAGATGTCCATGGAAGACCTATATTTCCTATTTCGTTAGGTGATCTTACTGTCTATTCCCTTGGAGAAGTAGTGACAGATAGGATAGCTTATCATACAGAGGATCTCATTTATCCGGTAGGCTATTGCAGTACCAGAGTATATGCTAATTTAAGAGATGTAAGGACAAAAAGTTTATACACGTGTAAAATATTAGATGGCGGACCAAAACCAAGGTATACAGTGACAATAATAATCAATATAATTTTATTCATACATACACATAAATGTACATTTCGAATTACTTACAGGTTTGAAATTGTATCTGATAATGATCTAGATCAGCCGTTAGTTGGCTCTACCCCTGATGAATGTCATTCCAAACTATTAATGGCAATTTCTCTTGCGCTTCGTTCGATAACACCAAAGGGGGCTGATTTCTTTGGAATTTCACATCCCACTGTACAAAATCTCATACAAAGCACACCCGGAACTCGTAAATTGGCCATTTACAAACAGCAACGCTTCGAAGTATGTAATTAAACGCTTTGTATAACTAAAATGAAATTATATAAATGAAATTGTAATCAAATTGTAGGTAAGCAAAAATCAGCCAATGGAAAGAGGGACAAGTCCAGTAATGGAAGAAGAAACAGATCCAGGACTGGGATTTGCAGCTTTACATAGGCATTATGCTTTAGCAAATTCGTACAGAATTAAAGAAGAACCATCTGATAATGATCTTTTAGCTCTTCAAGAACTTCTTTCGTGATTCATTGTATTGTTAATAGGCAGACTGTTCTTCTTTTCAGGAAAAAATAACATTTCGTTCTACATATTGGTATAATACATATTATATAAATTTTATTGTTATCAAATATTCATTTTTAAATTATGGATATATTAATTATTTATATCAGGCCTTTCAAACTGACGACGCGTGAGCCAACTATGGCTCGTACGCTTCTTTGCAAGCCATATAGGAGAACAGCTTATGTACTTTATTCTGGACAAGCTCTACTATTATCCGCTTTTTGTAACAAAAATATCTTTATTTTTCTAAGTAAAATATGATAAAGTAATATAAGAATATATAATAATAATAATAATAATAATAATAAATTGTTAGGATTCCACTCCAGTCATAAATTATAAAAAACTGGATTATGGATTATGAAAATGCATGGCTGCTAATATATGACATATATATGAAAAGAAATTATAGAAATGTATTTTTTCATAAATTGACAAAGTTAAAAAGTTAAATATGTGTAATAGTGGCTAATCTGCATGAGGTGAAGGGATCGATTACGGCCTGAAGGAACAGAAGAGGGAAAGCTTTCTCTGGTACATCGAGTACTAAACTCATATGGCTTGCGAAGAGGAAGAAATTCGACACATCTGGTTTATATGAAAAACTCTTAAAAACTAGTATATTCATTTCGCTATTTTGTACTATTTATGAAATTCTAGTGTATAAAGCAATTTATTTTTCATCTTATTGAAATAATGTATAAATAAATAATATAAATGCTATTTACAGAATGTAATTTTGTAAATATTTACTCGCTGTATTGTAATTTTAGCTACATTGTGTCATTGTAAAACTATATATTTTAAATAAATTTTACCTAAATGTCAATGTCAATATAATAAGTATTCATGTCGTAAGAATATCTTTTGCTATCGTGTGAACGTGATTAAATAAATTGGCATTATTTTTAATTATAAATATTTATTTTACAATAATGTGATCTAAGAGTTAAAAGTAATAATATAGAAACAAATTATCGTAATGTTATCTTCAAGTTTATTACATTGTATAAAGTAACACGTTTTGACAAATCTAAATTGAATGAATAACTATATATAAATATAAATATATATCAATCAATTTTTCACAAAAAAATTACTTTTAGTTGTGCAAATATTTAGGCAACTATATTTACATTTTCCTTTTTTAATTGTATGTTTTATAAAATGTGTTAGGAATTGTATGCAATTATTTTATCAAAGCATATTATTTTTTTCATACTTTAATAGTAATAATAAAAATGTATAAAACTTCCAGTTACTTTGATCTCTTGTAATACAGTAAGGAACATTCTGATTTTTCAAATGTATCGAGTGATATTTACAAATATTCCTTACTGTAATTTGTTTCTGCATATCTACATACATAGTTTATGAATGCATTTCTATATACAAATAACGCTACGTACCAACTGTACGTAGATTATGTCTTAAATTTTGTTTACATTGTCATAGAAAATGAATAAAATCTAAATCTTATTCATAGTCTAACAACATAAGAGTTAACATAAAAATATTAATTAAACATATATCTGATGTAAAATAACAAAACGTGTGAAAAAGGAAATAATTTATCGCTACATATTTATTATCCCATAGAAATTTGTTATATTCTTTTCTGTCACCGTCTATTTGTATGTCCAATTGTTTTATTAAAGAGTGTATTTGCAATAGCAATCACAGGAGAAAATAATTTTAATGGACAGTCACTAAAACAAAGAATAAAATATTACTGAACTGAATTAATTATTATTATATTTGTATATAATTTAGTGATATTAAAATATATACCACACTCCAGTCACAGGTATTGCTTCATTTCCACTTACAATAAATATTGGAAACAATATAGAAAATACACAGCCACTAAAATAAAGAATAGTTTAATTATTAAAAGTCTTTGTCAAAGAAAAAGAAGCAATTTTTAAATGATCAATTACCTTATTACATACGAACTGGGCAGTTGGGTAAGTACTGCTAATGGCAGACCGAAACCCACAAAATATGGCCAGTTATTTTCTATAAAACTTAATCGTCTATGTAACTCCCAACCCATATTGAACCATTTGTATTCAAAAGCATAGAGAGCATATAAAAGGCACATATGTATAAGGGCAAGTATGTCACCTACAAGAGGTAATGGAATTCTGGATACCAACATGCCTTGGCCCAAAAATAATGCTTGAACCAATACACTGAAAAGCGTGTCTGCTACAAGCTTGCTCACACTGGATAAAAGTAACGGTCTCCCTTGTCTATACCTATAAGCACTGTCCGCTATGTCCTACATGGTTTACAAATATATAGCAAATGATATTAACTCCTTCAATAGTAACAAAGCTAAAGCTTCTCGTTCTGAGCAAATTCATACCTGAAACCATAAACTGTTGACTATCCTACTGAGCACAAATAGTGGTAACACCCATAGAGTGCCAAAAGTTAATGACAGAAATGGTTTCATCCAAGACCACAAAGTCATACCCATACCCGGCGAATGACCGAATATAATAGTCAATGAATACTTCACAAATGGGAGTAAACCACGCTCAAAGATTAATATGTTAGCCCAAAATAAACCACCATTTAAAGCACAACATTCAAATGTTCGTCTTAACGCTTTTGATTCTCTGAAAGCGTATCATATATAACATAATATTAGAATTTTGTGATTAAAGTATATCTATTGCTATATAATTTCATAATTTAACAATACCTTGATTGATTGAAATGTCTTGCAGACTGTGTTGCAACAACTATTTCCTTTCCATGAATTTCTTTAGAAGAAGAGGGTTCTTTAAATAAGTTTTCATTAATACTTTTATCCATATCAAGTAGAACTTTAGCACCCTTAAAGCTATCCAAAAATCCTTGACATATAGCACATATTATTCCCTAGAGTTGCAACACATACATTGTTATATAAATGTTTCATTTTAAAATAAAACTAATTTTTAATTCTTAAATATATAAATGCACAGCATAACATGTAGTATATAAGCATGCAAAATTTGTATTATCAGAAATATACTAATGAAAACTGATGCATGGCCTATTTGACTGAGAATTTTGACATAGATTAAAAAAGAAGGGATTAATCATACTTAAGAAGGTTAGGAAAAATATATTTTTTCATTAAAAATGAAATTGATTACTCACTATTACGTTATCCATATTTTACGACGAGATCCACAGTAGAATATAATTAATCTATAATCGAGATATATTGAACAATCTGCTAAAAAAACATTTTTGAAGTAACACAACTGTCATTGTCAGAAGTGATGCAAAAACGCACTAAAAGTGAATACGAAAAGAATATTTATGATATCGGAGTAATTGAGTTTTATAACATGTCAGACACATACGTATCGTCATTTAATATTAATAAGAATATTTAACCGATAGACTTTCTTTCTTCCAAAGCGCAGAAATATGCGCTGCCAACTAAATTAGCGTGAAACTATTATTACGACGTTTCGTGAAATTACTTTGAAAATATTTTTATAAAAATATATCAATTTCATTGCAGTCAAAGGTCAACATTATGTTAAGTAGAGGTCTAAAGGTCGCTGTCGAATCTTTGATTTTCAATTAATCTTTGCATTAACAATTAATGCATATAAAAATTTTAAGCCTTCAAAATATTCGAATATTATATTTATTCGTACACATGAATAATAACTACATGTACACTTGTCAGTTTCAAACAATATATTTTAACATACATATGTATTTCTACATGTAAATATGTCGAAGTTCTTGATTTAATTTATAGATATAATCAGCAAGAAGATAATAATACCAGCAGAAAATAAATGAAGCCAAGTCTTTTGCTATACTTAAAGTTTACGTAATTTACCAACAAATGTTACTATTGCACATATAAAAAGTAGATTTATTTCCAATAACTTTTATATGTATATATTGTAAAGGCAAGTTGAACAAATATGCGTAGGTACAGTTTCATCCTAAAATTTTTTATTTCTTTTTTTCTTGAATTTAATCATTAAATAATCTGATTATTTATTGCTCAATTTTATTTTATATATGATGATGATATTACTTTTAACATGATAACAAATAAAAATATGACAATCGTTATTATTCATGTTAAATGATATAAAAAAAAAAGAAATGAGATTTAGACTGATTAATCGTTATTACTATTTATAATTGATATCAATTAATTATTGATATTAATTGATATTAATTATTATTATTTGATTGATAATATTCTATTGTTCGAAAAGAATAAAATTTAATAGCAAGAAATGAGAACTTGCTTAAAAAGTGGCATTTATAAATCGCGCGATAATTTTGGAGTAACCTGTGTAACTCGAAGTACGACTTAACCTCTAACTACACTTATAGTTTTTACTTAAATGCAATTTTTAATTTATTATCAAACATTGCCATGTACTGACATATATTAGTTTACATTGTTTAATTGTTTCATTTTCATTTATTCATTTTGTATGCGATGTATTTTAATACGATGCTTTCAAAAATGAATAGAAATAAAATATATATTGTAATAAAAAGCAATTATTCTGTGCAAATATATTAGGCAAAACTGCTTAAAATTTTCATTTATTTTTTGTTAATTATTAACATTCCTTGTTACTTTATCCAAGCAAATTCCAGAGATCATATTTGGATACCTTTATGCTTGGTAAATTTTTTTTGATAGAAAAAGAAATTAAACTATAATTTTTAAATCAAATAACATAATAAATGTCTGATTTGAAGGATTCAAGTACAACAAATATAGCTTCTTTCAATCAAAAGATTCCAAAAAAAATTTATTATCCATTAAAAAGTGTTTCAATTTTTTTTTAAGAAAATTTTTTTTATTTTAAGATCCATATGCAAGTGATGCATTTATTTGTTATTTCAGGTCTTACTGAAAATCTAAAGAAAATAAAAAAATTAAAGAGTAATAAGGTAAGCTTAATGGTAAAATGTATTAGATACATCTACGAAATTTTATTGAATAATTATTCAATTCAAACATCCATTCTTTTGAAATGATAGGATGATCTATATCAACCAGCGGAAATTAATATTAGAAATATAAAAAAGATAAAATATTTACCTACAAATTTTCAAAAATTAATAATTCCAAAGAATAATACAAAATTAAATTGTCACTTCATAAGTAAGATTTCATTTCATCATTTATCAATTAATAATTTTATGTTTATTCTTAATTATTTTTTTGAATCATATTTGACATGTATTTAAAAAAATAATGAGATTTTGTTACAGAAAAGAATACTGATTCATCAAGTATGTTAAATACCAGAAAAGATACTAATATCAAAGTAAATATTTTTAATGAAGAAAATTTTAAAGATATTGTATTATTAACATATTAAAGAGTATTACAACATGTAAATAATATTAATTGTTATTATTGCGCAGTAGAATGTACTTGATGATTCACAAAAGAAGGCAATTCAGTCAAAATTCATACAAGTGTTAAGAGAAGAAAAATGTACCTTGGATAAAACAAAATTTGAAAATATAAGTAGAGTTAGCATACTTCTTTTGTATCTCCACTTTTTGCTTTGTTATTACCTTTCTTTTTCAAAAACAAATCATTTCAATGAATTTTTTGAAACATGTCCAGTGAAGGACACTGAAAATTAATTGTATATTATGTAATATTTACAATTAATAATAAAGGAAATAGTCTAAATAGCAACGATGAATTTTTCCTTATGATTTTTACGTTAAAAAATAAAAAAGTATATGTAAAATAAAATTAATATAAACATAGAGTTTATATATATATTTTGTATGCTAATATCTTTATTATCTAAAGGCACAATAAATTGCCTTTACAATATTAAACAAGCAACAATTATAATCATGCATAGAATTAATAATTATAAATATAAACGTCGAAAGATATCTGACATTGTTATCTGGAATTATGTTATTACACATCACTTTCTACCTTTACGCTCAGTGTGACAGTAGTAATTACTTCGTCACCTTGCTTGAAATCACATTTAGCTTTGTAATCTCCGGGTTTCATTTCGCTGAACCATTCACTTACATCGCATTCTTCAGCTAATTGTTCACCCTAAGTGATGAAATTAAATTAAATTAGAAAAAACATACTTCAAACCATAAGATCATGTCTACATTATATAACTTGTTCAGACAATCGCTTGAGAGATACAATTATTTAATTGTGGTGAATTTATTTGTTTCGTATAATGATCATTTTTATTTCGTTGTTTAATTATTCGGAACTGACATTTCTGTCAATTATGCAAAGATTCGATTTGAAAGAAATATAAGCAAAATGAATGAAATATTTTATATCGTAGGTAAACTTTTTTTACCATCCCAATAGAACATGAATCCTCCTCGAAATCTGAGCCTTGAACCAATGTACAAATATTCATACTCTCGAAATCCTTGATCGGTTTATCAAATTTCTTGGTCGTTTGACTAACTACGTCATCACCTTGATAAACCTTTATATCGGCCTAAAATGCAACATAAAAATTATTTATCGATCTACCGTGTTCAATTTTAGCAAAAGTGAGAAAACGTTTAATTTTTATAGGTAGATAATTATCTAATTTTCCTGGAAAAGGACAGAGTTGAAGGCAATGAATAATAATATCAAAATCAAATAATACTTAAATCAGATATGTACTCACCTCTACTTCACCTGGACAATTATGCTTAATATTAATCTTTGAATTAATAAGATTATTTGCAACTTGCGGCTCCCATGACTGGACGATATTGTTGCTTGGGATGTCCACTTCCATATCTTGTACTGTAACTTTGTTGCTTGCCTAAGAAATAAATTGCCTAAGATTAATTAAAATAATATAGACGATGGATCTATTACACTTATATAAACGTTTTTTTACCTTGACATGCGATAATGAAACGATACATAAAAGGACCACTAATAACAATTTTGCAATTGGCGACTGCATGATGATGATTTGCAACATGGATCGTTCAAGAATTGTTAACAAAATCTCTATGTCCTCCAAGCGATGTTTGCCTCATATTTAAAGCCATAAACATCCTTCCGTGTACTGTCATTGTGATTGGTTGTTGCGAAATAACAAACCATTAACAATCGCACAAACAAATTTAACATTACATATAAAATGAAATAAGCCACGATTGCGTGACTTTTTATGGTTTATCAAGCGAAATCGTGGGAAATAAAGTTGAATGCAGAAGCAAAAATCGTGCACGATACTGTAAAAAATAAAGAGAAAAAACTATAATATATCAAGCATCAATTTTCATGTTCGTTATTTAACGAGATTATCAGGGATAATCTGTAGGAAATTACGTCTGCTTACGTTTCTTCTAATTTCAGGTTAAATAACAATGAAATTAGTTTCGTTAGACTCAGTTCTAGAACGTTATTATAAATACAAGATTCGCAAGATTTCAATTATAACACTAAAAAATTCGAGTCGGAACTGCGCTTCGGAAATAAAATTCGAGAAAAATTTGCTCGTTCTTTTCAATGTCATGGCAAATTGGCATACACACTTCACACGTGCCCAATCCCTTGCAAATTATTTGAAGCTTCCTAAAGATTGCAATTTCGAATAGTCCCGCATTTTTGGATTAAATTTCGACTGAGAGTCGATTCGTGTATCGAATATCATCGATCTAACAAGTATTCGATACAGAGTCTAATACATATGCCGCACATGGTTTATTGTGGCGCATGAATTAATGGTGCTTCGAAGATAACTCTGTTATGTTGTAAAATTGACAAGAAATGTTGCACATTTTCGTGGTACAATGACTATGCGGCGGTTCGCTTAGTCAGAAGTGGGCACGATCAAATGTAGATGCCGGTTCGTGCAACAACATTGCTTTTGTGTCCCTTGAAACGAGGGTGTGACAGTTGATATGCATTCCAATCGAGCACATATTTTTTTTCCTTTCGAAATGAAAATGAACGTCGCGTAACTTTTACCGTCTGCTCGTTTGGCGAACCGAAACAAATCACATCGTTGCGAGAAAAATAAATTTCCAACACGACATACACACTGTATTTAAGATTTGTTTATTTTCCTTTGACTGCGTCGACTGTTCTGTTACAGTAGAGATCGTGCGAGATTGAATTGGATCACGCGACCTGCGATCTTTTCTTGAAAAATTCGTGCCATATCTTGACGTTATGCGGTTTTGAACAGTATATGAAAAGATACCAAAGTAGCGGACGCTATTTGTAGGTTAGAAAGATACATGAGTGCTGTTGTCAGTAGAGGCAACGGCAATTCGCCCAAGTAATCTTTAATGCAAACCCTATGCATTGGCTTCAAGCAACCAATATACGCGAAGAGATGCCGTTAAGCCAAATAAATCAAAGTAATTTCGTTAGTACCAGCGAGAGTGTGAATCCTGGCACCGAGATAGTATCAACTTGTTATACTCCTCCACCTTCGTATCATAACATTAATTTACCTCTGGGTCATCCGTCAACTTTGACTAATGATTGCGGTGCACCTCCTTCCTATGAAGAAGCCATAGATCCAAATGGTAAATAACACAATAACAATGGAAACAAAGTAAAGATAATAGAAGTGACCGTTTTTATTTTTTTTAGCACCTCCTCCATCCTATGATTCGTTGTTTGGTCGTATGAGGGAAGCGCACAAAGTTTCAAAAGGAGTGTTTGACTTTTTGAAAAATATTATCGTCTTACTTTTAGGCACTAGTAAGCAAACATGTGAATTAATATTTTGTTAGATTTTAATGCAAAGGTTATTAAGTTATTAATTTTGTATTTTGGTGTTTCCAGTTGGATGTACTATTATCTTAGGAGTAACAATAGTAGTTCCAATATGTATGATGGTGATTGGAGGACTTTATCTTTATGATTGCCCACAAGGAGAATATATTCCTGTTTATTTGTTAGTGGGTGGTGGTTTTGGTGTTTTCAAACAGTTGTTACATTTGTCAGCAAGGGTACGTCAACGTCAGGAAGAACGAGACGAAGAAAGAATACGACAATCTCCTACTCAAACGTTAATTAATTGTTTTATGCTTGGCTGGTTTATTATAGGTCAGTAACAACACAAGTTAGCCATAAGTATATTAATTGATTATTTGTCAAGAATGTTCATAATTCTCTCATTCTTGCACTCTTTCTGTTTGCTCATAGGCTCAATGTGGGTATATAAGGAATACGAGCCAAATTATGATCCAGCTCTTGGCAAATATTGTAACAAAACGTTGTATTTATTTGCCTTCTGGCTAATTACAGCCGTTTACATATTCTTGGGAGTGATAACCGCCGGCTTTTGCAGTATTTCGGTAGCAAGCATCGCGTTTCAAAGACCACCGCCCGATCTAATGTAAATTCTCATGATCTCATTTCAAAAGGAAGAAACAAAGTCGTTCAAAAATCTATTATTTTGGGAACAAAGACGACAAGTGTTGCGAAATGAAAAACTAAAATTTTTTGTGGATATACAAAAATTACGTCGTAACAGGGCACAAAAATTCGTCCACGCTTTACGTACCTGAGATGCTTAAAACAACAATCTACGAACGGATCGTTTGCACGTAAAATACGTTCGAGTTTCGAAAATTGATGCTTGTAATCATACGTGGCAACGTTTCCTGATTTTTCAAACGTGCTTGATTGTGTTTCAACGTTTCCACACAATTGAGGCTACCTTTGCTATGAATTGGAACAAGCGAACGTAGTAAATGACAGATTGATTTCTCAAAATTGGTATGTACGCGAAGAGAAATGAGAAAGGGAAAGAAGAAGCGAAAATAGTCGATGAGATGCTTTAATCAATTCAGGGCTGTGGATATTTCGCAATAAGACGCGAATTTCTTTTTTTTTTTTTGATATTGTGCCAAGAAATCGCAATGCCGTAGAACGAAGAGTATTTTGCTATTGAAACGTCGGTCGCCCGCATCGACGCTCAATATTCGTAACGAAATGTTCTTCACTTGAGTAAAATCTCAGGACGTGTCATAAAATGATGAGGGGAAAAATATTCTAACACGAGAGTGTCATCGAACACTGTGATAACGTATAAAAGAAATTTTACCGTGGTCAATGCGTTAAATCATGATACCCATGATTGTGGCATATAGTTAAATGGCAGTTGTTTAACAGTTCTTCTACAAGTGAGAATAGTTACGTTCACTTGTATAAATAGCTTATTGTTGAAAGACTGCGACTACTTCGCAAAACATGATTTTTTATTCCTTTGCCCTCTCCTCCGTCCTTTTAAAACCTTTCGACCTCCATTGAGCCTTTATGTCAATGTAGTCGAACAACCGTTTTATAAAGACTCATTTGAAAATTAAGGTGTAAACTATATATATAGATATACATAAACTATATATATATATATAAAATATACATATGTATATTAAAAATACACGCTCCTTTTAGTATTTCGAGACTCTTTGAATGCCAGTATTTATTAGTATTTGTTAGAAAGAACGATTTTTAAAAAAAATCTTCGTATTTGATTGGTATTTAGGTTAATACAGTGGAGGATGGTGAATATTCGATTGGAAAAGCAAATTGTATCTCTCGACGTTTTATTAATGTAAAAAAAACAAAAGGTTGCTTCCACTTATATATTAATTCTTTATCTATACTTTTCAAAGCAACGTTTTTTCGTCTTCCTATTTAAGTCCGGATCAACCGGATATTGTAAATATACTTCGAAATCATCACTCTTTCTCTCTCTCTCTCTCTCTCTCTCTCTCTCTCTGTCTGTATCTATTTACCTATCTCTATCTATCTATCTATCTATCTACCCATCTGTCTACGTACGTGTTATCATCGACGAACGTACTTCTGAAATACATACGCTTGTACGGCATAAAAGGGAAAAAGAAAAAAAAAAAAGAATTAAATAATCGAACGGTACGTGCGAGCTTGCGCTTTCAAGAACATATATATATATATATATATATATATATATATATATATATATATATATATATATATATATATATTATATATATATATATATNATATATATATATATATATATATATATATATATATATATATATATATATATATATATATATATATATTAAATATATATATATATATATATATATATATATAGAAAATACACAAAATCTTTTGCGTATCTACATAAACTACATAAAATTGATCTTTGGAGTAAAATTGAATAGACTACAATTATCTTGAGCGTACGCTTAGCTATTAATTAAATAATATTATGAATACGTATTCGCGTTCTACTTGTTGCTGATATATTCAATGTAATACACGTTATATACATACATTAGACATACTTCAAACACTTTGACGAATGCAACTTTCGGACAAGACCTACGCGTGCCTATAAAATAAGTTCTTTACATTGTCTAATATGGGCACATACGCACATTTGTTATTATAATTTCCTAAATAAAGTGCTTAAAAACAAAGGTACAAGTTCATTTTGTATTATAATTATTTTTATTTTTCACTGCTTGGAAATATTTTAATGCACCAGAGCAGAGAAAAGGTTTTACAATTGAAGAGAAGATCAGCCTTACGTCTTATTTTAAATTTAACATTGATTTGTCCAATTAAATTGTTTCAACGGATGGTCTGTAGTCAGCGTCGTTGTAATAATCTCCAATTTCAACTTCGTATTCGTCTTCATACTTTAAGTATTGTTCCGGTGCCGTTGCTAAATCTTCCGAACATTTATCTACCAGAGAATCCACGGACACCTAAAAATCGTGCGTTTCAAGGGATTGGATTAGAATTTTTAAAAATTTTCTTTTCCTTGTCATTAGAGTTGTATCACGGAACCAACTCGCAATTTATTTGTTAAGCTTCGTGGAAGACAATTCGTTGAATAACTCAATCGTTGGCATCAAATAAGCGGATATATTACATAAAGTAAGGATATCGTAATTTTACTAATGAACGCAGAGAGTCGACAATTTGTCAGATAAGAATACTTGCGAAATATTTCTCGGACTACAAGCGATCGTTTTAAATCTTATTCTTCGTTTTTTTCCTACTTTTATTTTTTGGGAGTAAATTTTATATATTATTTATTTTATATATTTTTATATGTAATATATATTTTATATATTTTTATACATAATATATATTTTATTTTATATATTTTTATATATAATATTATATAATTTTATTTTATATATTTTTTATATAATATATAATTTTATTTTATATATTTTATATATCATTAATTTTATATATCGTTTACGTTGATATCAAATATCATTTACTGAAAAAGAACTGGCTATATATTCTTACCTCTTCCTGTAGCGGTACCGGTTCGGGCGGTAATAAATCAGGATTGTAGGGCGTGATGCAACGTGCTCTCCACAACGCGATAATACCTTTCTTCAAAGGAGGTGGCTCAAATGGCACAGGTTTAGCTTCCACCAATTTTGCGCCTTCGGCATTTTCCAATTTTTCACCCTCTTCGTCAGCCTCCAACGCGGCAGGTTCAATTTTCTGCGTTGAAACCACGGTTGACTCGTTTTTGAGAGAAAATAGAAAAGAGAAGAAAACAAAGAGAGATAAGTGTGTGCTTTTAAGACTGACTCTCACCTCGACATATTCTTCCTTTGTCTCCTCGTAATCAGGATCTTTCACGTGCACGTAGTGTCCATGTTGCATGCAAGCGCTCTCAAAAGTGAAACACCCGCGTCCATAAGGCTGCGGTGACACGTTTCACTTTATGATTGTGACGAGTTTGAAAAATCAGTTAATTACTGATTTTGAGAAATGTTTACGTAACGAATAATTTGCATTGACTCACCAGATTCAATTCCCAAAATCCGTGGAAACGATGTCGAGGATGGATCAGCTGTCCAGGTCCTTGGATTCGATCCTTAATCCACGTGCCCATGAATTTCGTGTTCGTATCGGCGTAAAGATAAGATCCCATTCCGTGTCGGAGATTCTTTTTCCAGGAGCCTTCGTAAACGTCGTTGTTTGCGTAATAATATACGCCAAAGCCGTACTTCATATCACGTTTCCACTCGCCTGCGAAACACGTTTCAATCTACGCACAGTCTGTCAAACGTTTCTCTGTTTGTACTTTGTATTCTTTAATTGCACGTTCACGAAAATTGAAGATTTATACATTATATAAACTCGTGAAACTTAAAAATGTGAGCTTTAAAACGAGGAGGGTGGGAGGAAAAAATGGAAATTTCTTCAACGCTAGAACTACCGACGAGAGAATAATTGAAACGTGAGATATTAAAGTCAAGAAATAGAGGAGCCTTTATGATACAATGGAATATAGAAACTTTTATACTTTTTATGGGAAGTTATTTAAATCTCTGAAAATACACGGTTATTAATAATTATAATTAATAAAATAATTATAATTAAATAAATAATAATAATAATTATAATTAAAATAAATTAATAATAATTATAAATTAAAAAAAATATTAAAATAAAAAAAGTAATTAAAATAAATTAATAATAATAATTATAATTAATAATAAAATTAATATAAAATAATTAATAATATGCTCCTCCGATTTTCTCCGTTTCGTAAAAATTTCATCCTGGTAGCAAGATCCAAAATTGGCCATTTTCTGTCATCGTTTCCCAATAGACTGGACTATTCGTCGTTTCTCACCCTCGTATCGCGTTCCATCAGGGTACCAAAAAGTTCCTTGGCCGTATTTCACGCCTTGTCTCCATTCGCCATCGTAACGAGCACCGTTTTTAAGTACGTAAAGTCCTCGGCCGTGTCTCAATCCTTTGCAATACTGTCCGACGTACATGTCGCCGTTTGGAAGTAAAGCTTTTCCACGACCGTGTCTGTCGCCTTTTTCATTCCTTTCACCTTCGTATAACTAAAATTACACACCGACGGCAAATCACGATGAATTTAATAAATTTGGAGTGCTACTGTAAATCGTGAAAGTAAAATTATTCCCATTATTTTCATGTGAATTGAGAAAACAATATTCAGGAACAATTACCCCCAGCGGATTTACTTCCTCTTCACCTCTTTCGCCAAGAATCTCTGGAATTTCTACCATTATATCAAACTTCTTCAACGTAAACAAAGATGTGAAAAGGTATCTCTGAAGTTGTCTCCGGGATGTGTAATTCCTTTTATACAAGTTGTAAAATTATGCATATTGTTGTAGTTTTAGTTATGTAGATGTGTAAGGAGTAATTTAATTTAATCAAATGTTACAATCAATGCACTGTGAGAGATTATACAAATTGTTTAACCAAGTAGAATTGATTCAATAATGATAATATATAGTTCAGAGATATCTCAATTTTTTAAGTAGTTTTAGTGTAAGGAGTAATTTAATTTAATCAAATGTTACAATCGATGCACTGTGAGAGATTGTACCAAGTAGAATTGATTCAATAATGATAATATATAACTCAGAAATATCTCAATTTTTTTTAAACAGTTTTAGTGTAAGGAGTAATTTAATTTAATCAAATGTTACAATCGATGCACTATGAGAAATTGTACCAAGTAGAATTGATTCAATAATGATAATATATAGCTCGGAGATAGATCTCAATTTTTTAAAGCAATTTTAGTGTAAGGAGTAATTTAATTTAATCAAATGTTACAATCAATGCACTGTGAGAGATTATACAAATTGTTTAACCAAGTAGAATTGATTCAATAATGATAATATATAGCTCAGAGATATCTCAATTTTTTTTAAACAGTTTTAGTGTAAGGAGTAATTTAATTTAATCAAATGTTACATGTGAGAGATTGTACCAAATAGAATTGATTCAATACTGATAATATATAGCTCAGAGATATCTCAATTTTTTAAGCAGTTTTAGTGTAAGGAGTAATTGTTACGATCAATGCACTGTCAGAAATTATACAAATTGTTCAACCAAGTAGAATTGATCCAATAATGATAATATACAGCACAGAGAGAGAGAGGTCTCAATTTTTTAGTAATTTACACACCAAGAGAATTAAAAATACGAAGTATAGTATAATTTTGAAGCCCGACAGTCAACAGGACTTCGTACGGAGACAGTTGGGTGGATCAGAGAAATACAGGGGTGAGTATGTGGATCCATCGCACGTGCAACGAACGCAGTATCGTACGGAGGATGGTGGCGGTTTAATTTTTGATGGTGGACACTGAGGTGGCTCTGGGCAAGGACGTGGTAAGCAATTAACGACGTACAACGAAGGTGGCTTTGGTGTTTCTGGACGTTGCCTGCATATCTAGAAATGAAATAGAAATCGTTCGTCAGTGAAAATTAGAAACATTTATTTTGGAAGAGCTTGTGCATCGAGGAAAGAGACGAAGAAGTTCCACGAAAATACGAGTATGTGCTCTGAGAGGGTTAACGTTAGAAATTTGAAGTATTTTGAAACGTACGAAAGGTAGACAACACGGAGGAGGACAACATTTCGGAGGTGTTGGATATTGTTGAGGAGGTGGACAACCGTATTTTGGGCAATAGAATGGCGGAGGCTTGCAGTGATAACACACCGGAGGTAGAGTGCTAGGGCAACACCCTATTTCCTCGTGGCAAGGCATTTTTATTTTATCGGAGGATTTATTCCCACGAAGATTGGAGGTAACGTTCGATAGAAAAATATATCAAATGTACAGCATCTTGTCAATTACAAATTGTATTCGATCGATGACGAAACAACTTTGAAATTTAAAATGATAAAATCACACAAAAATTTCGAAAGGATCTTTTTTTTTTTAATACCACGACAACTTATACATTTGTCCTCGTATCGATTACGTTTCTTTTGTTTTTAAATCGGACATATTCACGCGGTGTGTCCGATTGCTTCCTTTCCAGTATTTAATCCAATATAATTCTTTGTTTATTCGTCGCAGAAGTTACAAGAAACAAGAAAGTTATAGTTAAGTACAAATTATGTATTTTACGTCTTTGTTGCTTTCAAAATTTTACACTTGAAAGAGAAGAAAAAAAAGAAAGGATACAAAAAATATAAATACGCGAACAAAGAGTTACTCTCCACGCATAACGAGCAGAAATATTTATAATTTATTAGTATAAATATAAACAAATTGACCTTCCGCGAGAGTCGAACAACCTCGCGCAACGAGGGGTTATTTTCGATGGTTGGATCTCCGGTGGTGGGCAGCGTATCGATCGTGGATAATAGCAGGGTGAATACTTGGGTCTGTGAAAAGGAATCTGTAACATTATCGTACATACACATGCACGCATGTCTTTGTACTCGAAATATAAAAATATTCCATCAACGTACCCGTTGCATGTGCGCGTAACTTGAAAACGGACCGAAGACGTGCCGCTGATCGGCGGCTGAATATTTGGACACGGTGGACACATTGGAAAACAGGTTCTCCGCGATTCGCAACGCGAAGGGTGGCTGGGAGGATACATGGACAGTGCATCTTCCAACGTCGTTGACATTTTCTCCCCTATCGTTTTCGAACGACGAATTTGCACGGAATCGTTTTAGAGAAGATCGGTTTCGTATCGAAGAAAACTTACTGAAATTTTCGAGGTTACTCGAGTCATCGAGTTGAACATTGCGCGAAGAAAAGCTTTTGTTTCAAGCGCAAGGGTTATGAAGACGTTGCAGAGCAATGAAAGAAGACAGTCTGGTAATCACAACAGATATTATAATAAATCATATCTTTACAGAGGCAGATACATTGTAAAACAAAGATACTTTCACGAAATATACACGCAGTCGTACATTGATCCAAGGAATCGATCGGCGAACACTATTATGTACAACACAACCACGGAAGCGTGCACGATGTCCTTTGTTCGAAAGAATTCGCAGACAACGCGAATTTTGTTGTTTTTTTTTTTCCTTGCACTTTTCTCAAATTTGGCACGTTGTGCACCTCGTTCGTTATATTCTTTCTGCTTCTTTTTCTTTAATTTACAGAGTTTCCGCTGTGCTCGCGTTCAACAATTTGACCAATTGTAAATTCGCTGGCCTTCGATCGACTTCTCAGTCGCTTCTCGCTACTCGTTGCGACAAATTAATTTCATCCTTGCTCTCGCCTTTTTGCTCAGAAGCAGAGGCGGAGGAAAAGAACAATATACCGATAATAAAAACAAATCTGATCGGTTTCGATCACAACGCTTGGAACAGAAACAAAGTTGAGACGTTCTCATTCAGTTTGATTTCGACTCTAGCCAAATGAACGTAGTACGTCGATACAAAGGGAAAGAAAACGTGGAAAGATAGAGACGAGAAAATAATAAGTACTTAAGGCGACGATAATATTACGTCATAAACAAATCGCTATTGTGTACAATAGAGTCTTTCGTAGCTCGTTCTCTGAAACTAACGTCGAGAATCGAGCTACGTGGATCGGGAATCGTTTCGCAAAGCATCGTTTTCGGATCAGTTAAGTTTCAGACGACGCAAATCAATCCAAACGAGTGCTTTGCCAGTTCGTTTTCCCAAACGAAGAGACAGAAATAAAAAAAAAAAAAAGTGTGAAAAAGAGAGGAAAAAGCCAGCTGCGCTGTTAAATAATATTTAAGTACATCGATCAACCAACGTTCCTTTCCTTTTCCTTTTCACGCGTTTCTCCTTCTTCCGTACAACTTCTGCGAAATGTATCTGGCGATCGCTGTTTTTTTGTGCTATTCTCGACAATCGTTTCTCGTTTTTACTTTACTTTATATTCGTTTTCCCCATTCTTTCGCGTGTCGTTCTTTTTTTTTTTTTTTTCACTTCTGTTGCTTTTGATTTGCCGGACGGACAGAAGGTAACTCGAAAGATGAAGCTCAAACCTCGCCACCAAACGATCGAGAACGATATCGGGTTGTTGGATCTCCTCTTATACGATCACGCGTTCCGTCCCACGATGACACAGTTGCTTGGGAGTCTGTTCAGAATTGACCGATCACTCGAACAAACTCAAACACTGCTCGAGGCTCGACTTTCTTATTTTTGATTCTTCTTTTTTTGTTTTCTTTTTTTTTTTCAAACTCGGCCTTGCACGTTTGGTTACAGAATTGTGCAGAATTCAAAGACCGATGCCAGCTCGCGCGAAACGAACGAGAAGGGCCAAAAAATTTCGAGCAGACCGAATCCATTCCGAGCAGATCCGTGCATACGCACTGTCATCGAGTACAAAGTATTCCTAAAATATAGAAGTAATGACGCGATTTGTGCTGAGAAACGCTAAACGAACTATTTACAAGGACAACTTACGAATTACAACTCGAACGAAAAATCTCGGCAACGAAGAACGTCATTTCCGTTTGCATTAGGATCATCGTCGGCTCGGTGAACATTCTCTTCTTACTCAACATTCATACACGCACGCTTCTTCACTCACTCTTCTTCTCTTTCTTTACCCGTTCAATTTCTCTCTCTCTCTCTCTCTCTCTCTCTCTCTCTCTCTCTCTCTCTCTCTATCCGTGCCTTTCTATTCGTCATCTTTCTCTTTTCTGCTTTTTTAAATAACTACTATTTACATACGATGCACACACACGATTCGTCGTTCAAACAACGATCGAACACGTACCCTCATTCTCGTCGGCGACGAGAGATCATTCTACCTCCTTCTTCTTGCCCCTCGTTCGACGTCAACCCCTCGCAACGTGACGTGACATATGGCATTTTGGTATCATGCCTTCTGAATCTTCACGGTTGAGGAAAGTCTGAAGAGTGGATTTATCACATTTGTCACGGGATAAGGGCATTTGAGAGAACTCTGTGTATGTGTGTGTGAACTATAAGAATATTTTCAAGACCAATTCAACAATATATCACGCACACGCGTTTTCCATTAAATTAAGTAATTAAAATGCCGTCTGATACAAATGCGGTCCTCTTCTATTATTCTTACGTGAGTAGAAAAATCTCCTGCAAACAGTTACTTTGTAAATTGCCCTCGTCTCCTGTTCTTCTCATCTGGATCTTTTCCAAAGAGCTTCTACGTACTTTGTACTTTCTACTCAAGCCTTCGGTCAAACCAATTTCCAAGAATTTCCATTTTTTTTTTCTTTTTTTCAAAAACAAAGGGAATAACTATATGCCTCGTTCCTCTTTGAACGTGAGAACGTACACGGCAAGGGGTTGAGTATCATCATCATCGATTACAGTATACTTGGAGAAACGAAAAGCTCGATCGTCAACTGAAGACTCAGAGAAGCTTTGTAAGACACAACATCAACCCCAATCATTGTTCATCTTTATATATAGGACGTGGAGAGCATCCGACAATGCCTCCGTAATCGTTTCAACACCGACATAACTATATAACAAACCGTACAGTGCTGTAAGTTCACGTCAGAACGTCACTCCGTGTATCGTTGCTCTCGTGTTGGCTCGCGGAAAGTACGAGCCTTGCAGAGTATCTCATCGTCACTCTTGCATCTACTTTTCCAATTTATGTCTCTCTCTGTGTGGTTTCAAGTGGAAGCACCTTTCTGCAAGCGTTCTAGCTGCGTGAACTATCTCCTAAACGGCGACGTTTTACAGATATTCCGTTTTGCATTCTACAACGCGTTATCGTGAGATTGTGCAGATCCGCAAGTATATAGAAACCTTGTAACGTAGATATTTGTCTGCAGACAATGTCTGCGACGCCTGCACGATGCAGACAGTGCAATAGAATATACAACGCAGATCAAATTTTCCTTTAGAAAAAAAAAAAAAAACTTCAAATCTGTCAAACTCTCACTTGCGTTACAGGCTACGGCGTCGCCCAAACAAACGTTGCGAACGCTTTAGTCTGTATCTCACGCGTGTTTCCTCGTGGCCGCTGGAAAGCTCGAACTGCTCGTATTACATATTTAGATATTTAGACAACGATAGCGTGTAACGTACTGACTCTAGAAACTTTTTTTTTTTTCTTTTTCTTTTTTAACATCTAATCTTTGCTCGTAAGTACCCTAAGTTGTGTGTATGCGTGTATTTAGGATTCGTGTGATTAATTCTGTCGGCTAAGGAACGATAGACTCTGCGCTAACCCAAGCTCGCTTGCTTTCACGTTTACCAGACGGAAAGTTTTCAGCAATTCATCTGTTTTTTTTTTCTTTTTTTCCTTTTTTTTTTTTATTTTTCTGAGCAAAAGATTTGCGACAACCGGCCGAATTTCCCGTCCATCGCGTTTAAGTACTGGCCACGCCACATCTCCTCGCGTGTGTATCACAGTCCGCCATTTTGGTGTTCAGTCGTGTCGCAAACGCCTGGCTATCGAATTAGGACAGTGTATTTTTGTATTTTCACCGAAATTGCAAACCCGCTAAATCAAGTCGAGTGTCGAGTCCCAATGAACGAGTGAATACGTTCTCTAGATAACGTTAAAAAAAAAAAAAAAGAAAAAAACGAGATCTATTGAAAATTTTTCAGTGGCCTAAAATCGATGGCCAAGGGTTGCACACACGTCGGTGTCCTTCTCTTTCTCTCTCTCTTTCTATCTACTCTTCTATCTAAATTCTTCCTCTTGCTCGTCAATTCCTCGATACCTCGAGCCGGGTAAGTTCGACAGAATTTTTCATTCGTACACGTTGCCCGCCCATCGACCATTCGACAAGGAAAATAACAACTTTTTTTCGTCGAGCGGACCATGCTACCAGCATCGTGTTTTAATTTATCGTTATATCTTTTACGATATATATATTTATATTTTTATATATATATATATTTTTCGGCGTTTTTTTTTTTTTTCTCTTTTACTGTTATTTTCGACAAAACATCAGATTGGTGCGGCATAATCTTGGGTGCGTAGAAATTTTTCTTCATCATGCAGAGAACGACGATAACCGTATTCAGTCTAAACTACTCGAGATTACTGTTGCACCTCGTTTCGATTAAGTACTCTCAGTGACAGACATTTAAGTTTAATGTTATCGATTACCAGAGCGATGGTAATCTAGCTTCCTCTGCGAACAATGTGCGACGACATCTAGAAACAGTTATCGTACGATCCAGATCGATCGGCCGACCTGGACCCCTTGTATCCAAATAAAATCCACGTTTGCCAACGCGATCAGGGCGCGTGGTCCCAAAGACACGATTCTAACAAGTTCTCTGTCCCTCCTCTCTCGTATCCAAATTTTCGAGGTCATCGAGGCTGTGTGCGCGTAATCTACTAACGTCTAAAGAAAAAAAAAAGAAAAAAAAAAAAAAGAAGAAACGACGCTTCTTTGCGGGTACGTGTTTTGTGCTCATTTGCTGCTACATCATCATTGCTACTAAACATATCTCTTCGAGATCGATACGCCGCTCCTCTTCGTTTCCTCTTCGAAGAATCTTCGTTACGTCCAAGTACGATGCTTGGAATCTACAATGTCTCGTCCCGACCGGAATACTATCCTCTTGCCAGAGAATCCTCGCGACTCCGTCAGAGGTTGAAGCGTTCTACGTGTAATACTTCCGGTCATGCGAGAGATCGAAGCGTGGAGAACGGACGTGGGGCCGTCACTATGTACTCGAACGGAAGTACTTGGCCACGCTGTTGACGAACTCCTGGCGCTACAATTGTACCTGGAACGCTTGGGTGGCGTTTGGCATTATAAAGGGGTTCGTCGTGCTCGATTGCCTCAGGTTTCTCGCCGCTATCTCTGCCCATTCCGCGTCGAAGGGATCCGAGGGACCGGTCCTGGTTGCCTGTCCCATCGCTGCTGAACCGAGCGACAAGGCTCGCGCGTGAAGCGGTGGCGCTCGTCGAGGGCTCGTTTGCCCCTGAGAAGGAGATTGCACTGAAGATGGCACCGAACTGGTTATACTACCTAGCCACTGCTCTGGTTTCGGCAACGTGGCTGTCGTTGAAACTGGCTGCACCTGAAACGGCAAAACAGGTTAATTACACTTATAGCACATAGAGTGACAAAGTCTGTCTATCAGTATTGGCAAGTACCTAACTCTAACAAGCTCAAAATTTACTCACCGCTGGTGTGGATATAGTATTGGGTACTGGAGTTTGGCTAATCTGGCTGGTATCGTTGATAATACTGCCAGAGAGAGCCGGAGAGACAGACGCCACGCTGGTGGTCGGTGAACTCGTTTTCGGTGTTATCGAAGAAGTCACTGGTATCGACGACCTGTTCACAGCTGTGGTGGACGCGTTCCCTAAGGAAGACGTAGACGCGGTGCTAAAGGCCGGGCTGGCCGAAGGCGGTGTCCCAAAGACACCTACGGTAGTGGTTGGTGCGGGAGTGCTCATAACTATCGGCGAAGGCGCGTTCGTCCTTGGAAGAATGGGGCTGATGTTGCTGGTTTTGTTTAGAATCGGCGTGAGCCTGTGATTCGATGCCAGAACGGGCGACGAAGCTTCCTGCCAGCTGGGTCCAACGTGGTTCAAATTACTGAGATCGTCGTTTTTGTCGTTGTTATTGTTGTTGTTGTTGTTGTTGTTCAGACTTGGACCGTTTTGCAGCTTTAATTCATCCAAGGAGTTACTGCTCGTCACTGCAGGGAAATATAAGGATTTGCATTTGACAAATTCATTCTTTTGAGTAACGAATGAAATAAAAGGAAAATTCTTTTTCAATTTTATTCTACTTTTATTCTCTCGAGTTTGTCACAAATTGTCACTGTGATAAAAAGATTCTGGCACAAATTCGCAATGTACCTGGTGGAGTTTTGTTAGCAGTGGTGCTACTGAACAGTTGCTTAGCAACAGAGCTTGTACTGCTCTGCGTAGGAATTGGTCCAAAGTCGTCGCTGCTTGAAAGAAGAGAAAGCCCTTGTGAAAGCTGCTGACACATCGCTGATACACTGTCTTGGCCACCAGGCGATATTTCAGGTATCGGACTGACTGTAAGAATATATAAAAACGAAATTCTAGTACAATCGAGTTCTGTGAATTTCTGGGTAACGAACATTGTCAATATATCATAATTTGGTGCTTCGAACTGGTGCTTGGAACTACAAAACGCATGCTGTAAATACGTGAACACGCGTTAAGTGTCTAACAGTGGTATACAATACGTTAATAGAAACTGATGGTTCGGACAATTACAGATTTGTATCATTTCATGAATTTGAAAGAATAAGAAAGATCTTATTTTGGAACAAACAATTTGGAGTACTAAAGTACTAAATAAGTGTTCAATTTTTCAGGTAATGAAATGTTTTTTTTTCTTGTAGATAATTCATAATTTTATACACATATAATTATGATTCAATTTAAATAAATTTCACCCTAAGAAATAATCAATATCATTTTCATTTATTTTGCAGAATAAAAGAGTACAAACCTGTAAATTCCGACATCATTTTGTCTTTCTGTTGTGTGTAAAAAACGAACTACCATTTCAGAAAATAAAACTCAAAGCAAGAAGGTACTTCTCAAAACGAAGACATTTAAAAAGAGCTACAGGTTTCGTTTGCTATCGTTAAAGAACGTTGTACTTTTCTTTCCACTTTCTCTACTCTATCAATTCGTTTAACTATATTTAAACGAATAGACTGTCGTACGATATACAACTGTATATTTAAACACAAGGGAGAAAAGAAACGAGCACCATCCAAGAACATCAAAGGAGGATCAGGCAATAATGGACAATTAACAGAATAGGGAATAATGACCTTCGTCATATCCTTCGAATTCTGTTGCAAAAATGAAGAATTATTCACATTATTCGATATTCGTTGAGAGTGGTTTTAGATATATTAATACATTTAAAGCACGATTTCTTAGAATATCTCTAGACGACTCTAAGCCGAGGATCTTAACGTATCATTATGAAAATATTATCATGTATTCAATTTTTAATCACACGGTAGATATAATAAATGTTCAACGATATATTTCAAATCTCCAATCTGTCTTCCACTCGTAATACTCGTAATACTCGAATTCCTCAACTGCAATCAATACAAATATACTTTTACATTCTACGTGTGAAGTATAGCATCGGATAAGATGATCGCAGATATATTTGCGTGGTTACTTTCCCATTGGAAATTATAGAATTATATAATTACGAAATTAAGAAAGGAAAGTTATCGTAGTACAAGTATAAAATTGTTACAAATAAGAGTGTTTACCCGGTGGCTTCAAAGGTACGATGTGAGACATAGCAGAGGGCAACCGTGACAAGTCCGTCGGCTCGAGACTGTGGCTACGTGTACGTTCGAAATTACTAGGAAGATCGTTTATCCGTAAGCTGAGTTGTCTCTTGAACGGCGACGCTTGGTTCAGCTGCGTGAAACCGCGGAAAGAACCCTGTCGTTCGAGCATCGAGGGAGTGGCGTGCGGCCTCTCGATCGCGAAAGGATTGTAGACTTGCTTCATAGGAGGTACATCTACAACAATCGCAGACAATTGTTGAAGATACACGGACGTGATCCTGTTTCATTTTCAACGATCTACATCTGCCATAAACACCGACCCACGGCACGCTCGCGCGAATCCTGCAAACGTTCGGTCAGAGACGGATGCTTGAAACTGCCGCTCCTGGTGAAGGTTGAAGTCTTCGAATCGAACGTCATCGTGACACCGCACTCCTTGTCCCTTCGTTGCTTCCTTTCCAGACAGGCAGCGAAAGCGCAGCCCACTGCATGACTCAAACGCTCTCCCTGAAGAAAGACAAGTCGTTTCAATTGCTCTCTTTCCCAACGTCGTGGAATTTCGTTTTCAAACGGGGAACAGTAAAAATTATTTATCTCCGATACAAAACAGTGGTAAGGAAATTTTGTACGTACCGACTCTTTCAACGCGAGGAAACCGTGACACATCCACCGCCTGGTCGTGCCGTCTCTACAGATGTAACTGAACCCCTTCTCGTGATTTCGATCCGGAGCGCAAAAGGAAACCTTTTCTATCGTCTGATCGACGATCAGCCCCTTTGTCTCGTCCTCGACGACCCGCAAACCGTCCCCCGACACGTGCAGCACCGCGCGTACAGGCCGTCGTCTCGAATTCTGCAAGAATTTTCTTGTAAAAATCCATTCTGTCACTCTGACTCTTTCAAAAGAGTCAAACTTCTCTAAGGTAATTTTAACTTACCCTGAGCACTTTCAGAGCTTCCTCGCACACTTGCATACCCCTTGACTCGAACACCTCGACACATCCTAGGTACTGTATTACAAAAATGTAAAATTAATTGGACGAAGTAATAAAAGAAGAGGCGTGGCTCGAGGGACACGTAGAGAATGATTTACAAGAGACAAGGCATTGTGCATCAAGAGAAGTATAATAGGATGCTTGTTATTATTGGAGTATCGACTGTACGTGCCAATTTTACAGTTGTTGGCTGTTCGATTTTCTATTGCAAGTTCTCGCGCATGCGATGCATACGAATACTTTTTACCAATCCATGTCTAAGTGTAAGTTTGGGAAAGCTTTCAGATTTCAAGTTTAGCTGATGGGTGAAGTAGCTTATCTATTGGCAAAGCAAACTTCAAATTTAGTTGATAGATTAAGCAGCCTTTTTAATTAGTATATTTCAAATTTAGCTGATAGATGAAGCAGCTTATTTATTGGCAAAGCAAATTTCTAGTTTAGCTGATAGATTGAACAGTCTTTTTTATTAGCAAATTTAAAATTTAGCTGATAGATGAAATAGCTTATTTATTGGCAAAGCAAATTTCAAGTTTAGTTGATAGATTGAACAGCTCTTTTATTAGTAAATTTCAAGTTTAGCTGATAGATTAAACAGTCTTTTTTATTAGCAAATTTCAAGTTTAGCTGATTGAACAGCTCTTTTATTAGTAAATTTCAAATTTATAGATGAAGCAGCTTATTTATTAGTAAAGCAAACTCCAAGTTTAGCTGATAGATGAAGTAGCTTATTTATTGGCAAAGCAAATTTCAAGTTTAGCTGATAGATGAAGCAGCTTATTTATTGGCAAAACGGATTTCAAGGTTAGCTGATAGATGAAGTAGTTTATCTATTGGCAAAGCAAACTTCAAGTTTAGCCGATAGATGAGAAAAAAACCGGTTTTGGAAGGAAACCTCACCTTAACGTGGAAAGCGCAAGTAGCTGAGCGAACAGCCGTTTCATCTGCCTGCCATTGATGCGGTTTACTCGATTCCGGTACGTGGGGATCTTTTCGCCGTCGGAAGCTATCGCGGAAACTCCGTCGTAGTCGGTCCATCCTCTTTCCCGGCGATTTCTCGCGCTTCTGCAAAAATACAAAAGAAGTTGGAGATCAATTTTCCATCATCGGCAAGTAAACAAATCGAGGAGGTTCAGATTAATTCTTCTCTTCGATATATCAACAGCAGAGCTACCAAAAAACGATCGAAATGGCCAATTTATAATTTCTGTTAAATGCGAAACAGTGTGTTCTTAGAGGTCTAAGTAATTTTTCGTAAAATGTATGTAGATAAAAGCTTAGTATGCTCTGTTGTACAAAGTTCTTCTATTTCCTTTTTTTTCTTTTTTTTACTTCAATGTCTCTCTCTTCGATTGGTTCTAACGTTAAAAATGTTCCAGAATTCCGGAAATAGATGGAGCGTGTGTTTCAGAGAACATGTCACCTAACAAGTGAAAGAAAAAAAGAAAAAAAAAAAGAAAAATATGGCCCGAAGAAAAGAAAAGCCACCGCAAAATTTTAGATTTCGTCTCTTCCACGATGATTATGTGTGTAACACGGACCATCATGGCGTTTCTGGAGATTTGCGAATGTTCCCAGAGGACGAGCACTTTGACCTCGAGTTCCCCGAGGAGTCGTTAACAGTTGGCCTTGAGAAAAAAAGAAAAAAGAAAAAATAGAAGGCAACTAGTGTCTGGCCTGCCTGACAGAACAGAGTCGAGGTCTTACAATGGCATGTGATCGAATCTTGGCCTCGGTTCCCAACGAATCTTTTATATCAGAACCCTCCGACGAACTCTCCCCTAGCATGAGGATCTACCCCTCCTAAATCGTCACCCCTAAGAACCGGCCAACGGATCCAAGAACCCGAGGTTGAGAAAGTCTTCTCTCTGTTTCGTTTCACTTTCGTCTCTGTCTTTTCTTTCTGCTTCGGATTCTGCTGATGAACAGAAGTACGCTTGTACATAGGTTTTAAAAGGTGTCGTTTGAGCGATCGAACGTCTTCTTTGTATTAAAATAAAATAGGTCTCTCTCGAGGACGACCAGACGTGGTGTGTACATTTAAACTTGTCCAAGGGTCACGTTCCTTCGTCTTTCAAAAATCTGATTCTTTCGTTGATGATACGCTATATTTTGACAATTTGTACAAGTTGTACGAGCTAACTTAGAAATGATACACGTGAATGATTCGAGTTTTCGACACCAGTTTTCGATAGTACAATACGTTATTAAATGGCTAGTAGAATGGAAAATAATAGTTTAATAATAATTAGACAGGTAAAAAAAATTTTTCATTTTTCATTCTTGTCGCATATGAGCAAATACTCATTGTCGGTATTCAGGTTAATTATTTTGCTTAATTCAACTTCTCAATTTTATCAAAATCAATTATTTCGGCATGTTAATAAAATTCTATGATTTTTCACTTAATAGTCTTTATATTATGACAGTACGAGTATAAAAAAATTATTTTAATTAAAAAAATTAAAATAATATTATAATAATATTATAATTAATATGATGTTTCATTAAAAAATTCCCTAATTCTTTTTCACTTAATAGTCTTTATATTATGACAGTACGAGTATAAAAAAATTATTTTAATTAAAAAAATTAAAATAATATTATAATAATATTATAATTAATATGATGTTTCATTAAAAAATTCCCTAATTCTTTTTCACTTAATAGTCTTTATATTATGACAGTACGAGTATAAAAAAATTATTTTAATTAAAAAAATTAAAATAATATTATAATTAAGAAATAATATTATATTAGAAATTATAATATTATAATTAATATTATAACAATATTATAATTAATATTATAACAATATTATAATTAATATTATAATAATATTATAATTAATATGATGTTTCATTCAAAAATTCCCTAATTCTTTTTCACTTAATAGTCTTTATATTATGACAATACGAGTATAAAAAAATTATTTTTATTATAAAAATTAAAATAATATTATAATTAAGAAATAATATTATATTAGAAATTATAATAATATCATAATTAATACGATATAGTGATAATATAATTATAATCAATAAATACCATGTGTAATATAATAACACAATAATCAATAAGATGTGTCGCAAGATCAAATGAGAAGAGAGAAGAGATGTTTTAAACATTTGTTGCGCAACTGGCTCATGTAATATCATTCAGCTCGTCAAATTTCTGATTTTTTTCACTGATAAACCAAACGCAAAAGCAAGAAGCTAAAAAAATATAAGACCGTGGGCTTGTGAAATCCTCGTGAGCTAAATAACAAGCCTCAACGATATCATCAAGACCCTACAACCATAGATATCGTAAATATTTCGTCCTCGAGCGAGAGAATATGGGGTGCGAGAATTCCCAAGCGAACGAGCGATATCTTTTAATCCCACCTTTTCATCGCCTCGTCGTTTATTCGATCCATTGAACAGAGAAAATATTGGCATTATACTTGGAATTGTAAATGACGATGTGTCGAGATGTTTGAAATTGTGTACGGAAAGGAAATTAACTTGTATCGTTATGTAAGCATTTTTTTTTTTTTTTTTTTTTTTTAGGACAAATTTTATGAAACTCATATTACATGCATAGATACGTAGATGACTGTCATTGATATCGTCACAAATATTGCATTATTGCGCAGAAAGCATCTAGTTTCCTTTTCAGGAAAAAAAAAAAAGTAAAATTTATGCTCTTTGCATACAGATTTTATTGATCAAGGTATATATTATATAGTGTACGTTACTTTAGCTAAGAAATTCCGGCGAGAGGTTATAAGACTTTAGATCTCATGCATACGAAATTCTCTAGGAACGTATGAATTTTAATAAGATGTTCTCTCACCGTATATTTTTTTTTTCCTCTTCTAGGAAGAAAAAATTGTGTAAGCAACAAATCATACTGCAAGCAACGAACTACAGGAAGATGATGCAGAAGGGGACGAGCAGAACTTTATAGCGTAAGTGACCTAATTTTTTAAATTAAGTCAAATTTAAGGCGTTAGGAACTTTTTAATTAGAGATTTTTTCCATTTTTTTTTCTTTTTAAATTGCGCAAGCAGAATTTCACAGCGCGAGCGACTTAATCTTCGAAATCGAGTCAGATTCAAGGTGCGTTGGTATTTAGTACGTTTTTATTATTAATTAATACTAAAACCACAATTTTAGAAATAAAATTGTAATATTATATACAAATAAATTTACAGTTTATCCCATAAATTTTTACATAATAAAATTAATTAAAGAATAATATTTTAGAAAATTGTAATATTATATAAATAACTTTACAGTTTATCCCATCTTTTTTATTTTGCAAAAAAAAAATATATATATATATATATTTAGATCAGATAAGAAAATAGAAAATAAGTTTACAGAAGTAAAATGTATGTAAAATTTAAAAATAGTCAAAGCAACATAGTTTTTTAATACAGCGTTGCTGTAACGATAATTGGAATGAATGAGAGAAACGAGTGAGTGAGAAAAGAGGAAACAAATATGTACACCAAGTCCACATTTCATGGCTCTAAGGCCGAGATAAAGTTTATTACTACTATATATATTTAGATCATTCACTTTCGAGGTAATTAAAATTATTAAAATTAATTAATTAACCGCGATACGAAAAGGTACAAAATAAATTTTACTTTATTTATTTTTAAATTTAGAAAGGTTTCTCTCAAACGCAAAAACATACAATCCACGCGTCCGAATAGAATTATTATCCTTAGTCGACAACGAAACAACACTAGAACGCGATATTTGATCTCTACGCGTCTCGCGCGTAGTTTGCAGAAAACGCGTTCCAAGACCAGGCAAATATTGTCACGTACTCGAGCAACGATCCTTGGCTGAAGGCTAGATAGTTCCCGTTCGTCGAACAATAATGAATCTCGGCAGCTGTAACGATCACGAACCAATTCACGGACCGCTATGAAAATAATCGCGCGGCGACCGAACTCGAGGACACGTTTTTTCCTCCCCCGATAAGTAAGCGATGGCAATCGAACGCGAGGACTGGGCTAATGGTTAAAACGTGCGAAAGCAAGCACTCTTGATCCCAATCCGATTACCCAGGCTGTTTGCTTAGCCTGGTAATAGGCTTACGAGAGCGTTAGAATCAGAACGAGCCAAGGGAATCGTCGCGATGAGATTCGATTCATGCAAGATGGCACCCACGTGCACCGCCGCTCCCTGCACTTCAAACAGATCATCGTTCCGAGGAGGATCGATAAGTGGTCACACGACGACTCATATGACGGCCATATGACGAGAGTTTCGCAATGAGTTCTGGCGAAATCTTGTGCCAAACTTGTGGATCTTTTTTTTGACTAGTGTAGCAAGAAGAAATGGTACTCAACTGGACGTGGGGATGTGATTTCGTCACAAAATGGACGAAATATAGGTCCATAATTATATAGCTTGTATAAATTAATAATATATAAATTAGATTTATAAATAAATTAAACAAAGTAAGTTATATATAAGTAATTAGATCTATAATTTGTATATAAGTTAAAGTAAATAACTTATATATAATTATATAAGTTGTAAGTAACTTATATATAATTATATAACTTGTAAGTAATTTATATATAATTATAAGTTATAAGTAAATAATATTATAATTATATAATTATAAGTAAGTTATAAGTAACTTATATATAATTATACAAGTTGTAAGTAACTTATATATGATTATACAAGTTGTAAGTAATTTATATATGATTATACAAGTTGTAAGTAACTTATATATGATTATACAAGTTGTAAGTAACTTATATATGATTATACAAGTTGTAAGTAACTTATATATAATTATACAAGTTGTAAGTAACTTATATAATTATATAAGTTATAAGTAAGCAACTTGTATATAATTATATAAATTATAAGTAAGCAACTTATATATAATTATACAAGTTATAAGTAACATATACAAGTTAATAACTTATATATAACTATATAGTTTATAAAGGAATCAGATCTATAACTATATAGTTTATATATAAATTAGATCTACAACGCAATTATCAGTTTAAATTATCGACAATTTTTCATCGTCGTCGGTAC